TGACCTAAGCAATTGTAGTGATTCAAAATAATATTGAATGGCACATAATTTTGAAATTTATTGTGTTTTTTGGCATTTGTTGCGCTATAACATGCTATAGTTTTTTTTGTACTATATAATATAAGTTACATAAAAAAATATTTTTATATGCAATATACATTTCATAAAGTTAATCCATATAATATTATAAATAAAATGATTATATTTTAATGCAGTAAAACATTACATAAGCATTAAAATATATCTGGTCAGAAATTTTATTTCTACTACTCGAAACTATTTTAATTTTAAAAGATGTTCTCAAGATATAGTTTTCCACACAGAATATTAATTCTTAAGTATTCCATAATTATGCTATCTACGATTATTTCTTGGGAATTAAGAAAGTGCTTTTATATTTTAATTAATATTTAGCTAAAAATAATGATTTCTCCGTTCATTATAATTCAAAACTAGAATGAAAATTAATTGGTTTTTAAATTATACTTGTGAATTTCTTATACATTCTGATAATTAAAGTAATAGCAATTTCATATCAAATGCATTTTCATTTGACATAAAAATAATTATATATTGAATAATTAATTCTTGAGTATATATACTCATGCTCGCTATAGTGAGATAAATAAATTTTGACTATAAGTGTGCAGAAACATTTTTTTATTGATATGTGTTATATTTTTTAGTTTTATTAAAAAAATGATACCAATAACATTAAAACGTAATAAATACTTTGAAAATAATTTTGAAGACACATTAATCGAAGCAATTGATGAGTTAGTTAACTTAAACTTAATGAAAAAAATAGTAAAGTAATCAAAATTCTTATTAATTATCATTAATTTATAATAATAATTAATTATTATTCTTAAAAATTATTATTAATTTATTACAAAAACGAATAAATCTTTTCTAAATGCGGTTTGTTTTTGCAATATTTCAATTAAAGTAAATATATATTTATAATTATTTGAATATGTAATTAATTGTTGAATATTTTTAATAATGATATAATTCATGGTTTTAACGAACTTCCTTAAATATCACAGGCCTACAAGAAGTGGTTTGCTTTGAAAAATCAACAAAATTTGGAATAATTTTTTCAAAATTTCAAAATGACAAAAAAACATTTGATGCATTTTTAAAATGTGCTAAATATCAAATCGTATTGATTATGTCGATTATTTGCACAAATCGGTGAATTTTCTGCAACTTTCTTAAAGCAAAATGCCACATACAGCTAGTTATTGACTGAGCAAATCCAATAAATTTGCTTTGGCTAATTAATTCAAACTATAAATAGAAGATAACATAATGGATGTTCTTGTTCATTTGTGATGATTCACAAATCTTTAAGCCGCAATGCTTGGAAAATCTGTTATCCCTGAAGAAAATATATATTATCCAAATATTTGATAATGATATATGCAACGAGTATGCTTATATGAAACAATACGTTATGAATGAGAAAATTGCCGAATGCAAAATTCCAAAAGCTGTATGAAATAGACCCTCACATTAATAATTTCGTACTTTCATTTTCAATTTTACAAAAATTACCAATAAATCATGAAAACGCCTTACACAAGTGCTAATTTTTACTAAAGTTAATTATGAAGAATAAATATATGATATATTAATATATATATAATAGAATATTAGTCCTATTTAAAGTCAGTTATTCTGATAAAAAAAATATTTCAATAAAAAAACGGATTTTAAATGATACCAGTTACGACTGTTATTTGTTTTACTAATTGCACAAATATATTCAAATTTCGCGCGGGCCTTACCTTTGCAGTACAGAGTAAATTTATCAACTTGTCGCTTAGTTAATTTTTGTTACTAACTTCTATTCCGTGTTGCATTTCAAAGAGTGCACATCCTGCTATTAAATCTTTGTATTATAAATGGCGGTTTAGTTAATATTATTTTATATTTATTTTATTACCTTATAATGCTCAGTGTTGGTTGTGCAGTAGTGCGGTTGTCATATTGTATTGAAATTTGGTGTGTGATATTAAATGAATGTATTAAAAACGTTAAACGTTTTTTTTATAAAAGTGAAAGTGAATCAAACTGTGAAATGGACTTGACGTTCTGGTGATAATATTAGTGATTTTATCTGCCGCCATTGTTGAATTGAAGCGTTTTGTCACGAAGCCATCACAACGTACTAAATATTTCTTAGGTTGATAACAGTCAACGTTAAAACGAAATTAATAATAGTCTGCTGAAAAAATTTTGTGTTTAGTGTTTTAATCGACATATAATTAAAATAACAAGTGCGAACTGCAATTATAATCACGGGATGGCTGGATTTTTCTTTGAGCATTTGCATCAAGTGTCAATTGTCGACAAGCAGCCTCTTGATCCAGGTAGGATTTATTCAAAATCTCTTTTGTCAATTTAATTTTAAACATTCTTTATAATGAGTTTAGAAAGATTGCAAAAAAAATTTTTTTTTTTTTTTTGTAACTCAGTTTTATTTAGCAATCAGAAATACATAAAGATTCCTATGAGCTAAAAAGACAATATTTATGAGTGATGCCTAAGAAGAACTCCAATGAGAACTTCTCAGTTTTACAATTAATATGATATATTAGACCTAATCTAAGACTAAGTCTAAGGGCCATTGTCGTTTCAAACTCCTAATGCCAAAGGGTTGAGTAATGTCAACTATAGCAGGGTTCAAATGTGAGTATTGCAAAAAATTGCGCAATGATTTTGCTCGAAAACATCGCTTCTGTCACAAAAAGAACGCCATCGACTAATTACATATTTCTGTTATTTTCGCAAACAAAATCAAACAGCGTCCTCACGCCATTTAGAGAATAGTTATTTATAATTATTAGCTAATATATAAATAATTGTAATGCCTATTTTAATTAAAAGATATAAAGACGTGTCTCGATGTTTGTATCGAATGCAGTTCGAAATTACTAAATACATTTTAAATTCGATTCTCTTACCATATGCTTTTAGACTCGTTCTAAAGATAATATGAATGTCATTTTATAGTTTGCATAATGTATTACTAATAATTAATTGTCATTTTATTATGATAGTCACACATTTGACAAAACAAAATATGTACAGATGATTTATCTGTGCCAAATAGAGGTTTGTTTGTGTTTTTGAAAGCATTGCCTACGATTTTGATCTATTAATTTTAATAGTTCTATATTATATTTATAACATTCTATATTAAATTCACGAGGCGTGTTTAATCATAATTATAGAAACGTGTAAAGTATATTATGTAAATGATATTTATATTAAGGATATCTTATTTTTTTTTTTATATTTTTTGCAATTAACAGCAATAAGACCCTTACGTCCTATGAGCTATTGGGCTGAAACTTCTCCTTACTTCGTATTTTTATATGGTAACCCAATGGTTAATCCATCCATATTTGATGATTTTGTTATTAGAATTAATCTAATAGGGCTGACATTTTATTGGTACAGCAATGCCGGGCAAGGGCTATTTTCACTTGGAAACATATTGCTATTTATGTTTCCAAGTGAAAATCGTTGTCACTGCTGCCTGACAACAGGCTGCTCGAAGTGGGTATCGAACCCGGGACCTCTGATACAAGTCCCGTCGCTCTTAACCGCTTACCTACGGGCGAGCCCAAGGATATATTATAACTATAATTTTGTTACAAAACATTTCTAATCTCGATTTTTTTGTCTTCCTTCAATCAGGGTGCTAGATACATAAATGAATTTATGTAATATACTGCTTTATATTATTATATAATGCATATTTTCCACATCTGGTTACGGTTTTGCTAAATGAGTCATTTCAAAAACTAATTGCATAACAAAACAATTATCAACATTGTTATTAAGAAACGACGTTGTTTATTTTTTTAAAAATAAAAATTGGTATTGTTTTTTTGGCATTTGTCAAAATTAGACCATTCATCGACGTTTGCTCAAAAACGCCTGAACCAATTTCAGAAATTTAAAAGCCATTCGATGTATCTCAATGAGCACTATAGTTTGTCAGTTTTGTGAGACGATCTGCCGAGCCATTTCTTTGTAATTTGAAAAAAAGTGTTAAACTTTTCGTCCACATTAAAGCTCGATTTTAAAAAATCAAAATCTGTTCGAAAGATATTAGTTGGGAATAATACTGATTGGTTTTAGGTGAAAATCTACAAACCATTTTCTTGTAATTAACTGTTGAAAGAAAAATTAAGTCAATTTTTATGAAACTTTTTTTGGCGATATATATCATGTTCTTATAAAACTTACTGAAATATTGCGGCCTTACGACAAGCAGTTTAATTTTAAAAATTCATCAAAGTTTGAGAAAATGAGAAGTTTTTTTAACGTTTGTTAAAATTAAAATTATACGATTTACTTGGTATAATGTTAGACTACTTGGTTTTAATGAACATACTAAATCATTAAAGTCCTATGGAAACTGGTTCAATTATAAAAATGATTGATTTTTGAAAATTTGCTTTTAGAAAATACTCTAGTTAACGTGCTCGTTCGTTTTCAATTATGTGTAACAAATTCACTCGGAATACTTTTAATTACTCATAAATTAATTCATATTTTATTGATTAAGTAGATTATTTACACATATTGGGAAGTTCATGTAACTTGCCCCCAGGCAAATTATCAATACCAACTAGTTATTTTTATTCTGATAAATGATCACTATACAAAAATAAATAATAGGGTTTCCATCCTGGCATAAACAAAGACTGACGTCTCATTCTTATCAATTGATCCAAAACCTTTTTGCTATTAACATTTTTGAAAGACTTGAAATAAAAACGCACCCAACAGAATCCTCTAATTACAAAAATTTAATATATATTTGTTACTTTGTATACAACAAATATTTATTACTGTAGATCAATTATATTTTTTTATTTAAATAAAAGTAATACTACTAGAATTACTTCTACTTATTGCCTTATTGGTTATTAAAGGCTGCAGGTAAAGTTTTATTCGGTATGTAAGATTGCAAAAACATTATCATAAATTCAGATATAAGTTATCAGGCGGAGTTTAATGATATTCAATTTTGATTGAAATTTATTCATTAGACACCTGTTAAAAATACATAAATATCATTTATTGATGATTTGTTATTGACGTCATTATAACTCTAAAAGTTTTAAAAATAAATAAAATGTTTCATAATAGTTAATGAGGAACTTTTATGGTACTACTTATATTTCTTTGTCATGGTAGATTAATTCTGCAATTATACATGCAAACTATATTTTTTGTATGTTATCTATTTATCACGATAATTTTCAATATTTTGAAGTTATATAATAGCATTGCGAAAGCTATTGAATGCTTAATTACAATTAACATTGAATATTATTACATATCATGATTGATATTTTTTATAACTAAATTTTTTTTATTACTAATTAAAAATTAGTATGCATTTTTCACCTTGCAACATTTATAGAATTCTTCAGACGATGCAACAAATAAACATATTAATTGCTAGGGGCTGGTTGTAACATTTTTTTTTTTAATTAATATATCTTGAGATCCACTGATTATATTTTTACGAAGTAAAGATGGATAGTTTCTGTAACTATTCCTTTGCTGAATCGAGTGAAAACAATTTCACTACTGTTGTTTATTATTTCACAATCAATCATTTTTTAGGAAAAGCGCGGTGTTTCATCATACCTCTTGTTTGGGATTAGTTGTAACATCTATCAAGTCCAGTGATAAAAACAAAAATTGACATTAATACCTCTGCTAATTCATGCTTTATTCATTTTTGAGAAAATTGACTTGTTTCTAATTTGTTTTTCATAAATAAACGTAAACTATGATTAATAAAACTAAAGTATATAGTGTCTCCTGTAATAGCAATTCTCATCATAAATCAAAGTGATTTACAATTGTCATAATACAAAATAAAGATATTGTATTTTCCGTCACACAATTTACATGTGCTCACATCTTACAAATATATATATATAAATATATATAATTTTTTATGTTACAACTGTCCCCAAAGTTTTGTTTCAACTAAACTTAAGTGTTACTTTTTCACATTTCACAAGTAATTTAGCAATCACAAAAGTTGTTACACATTATCAAACATTGATAAATTTAAAACAAATAAAAAAATGAAAAAATTAAAATTTATGAATAATAATAACGCAAACCTGCAATTTTGTTATAGTATTAAGTGTGTACGTAGTAATGTATTTAATATTATTAACATATTATTGAAAAACGCCTGTTATTAGTTAGTCCTTCGCTCCCTTATAACAAAAAAATATTTTAATAAAATTAAATGAACAATAAAAATTTTGCGCTTGTCGATTCACTTACACTTGTACATTAATTTTCTGCTTTCAAGCATAAATATAATTTATAAATGTAGTATGTTCGTATCCCTTAGATCGATAGTCATCATATCTCATTAACAGGAAATAATCTAGGAGTACAAATTTACTCAAATGCACCTCAGGTATTATTAATGAATATTCTCCTAGTGCATATAATTGCAATGAAGATTGTATATAGAAGCATTCACTATATTATTCATAGTTGCATGTAATTTAATATTACAAATATAATATATTCCTCAATTCCTATGCTATTGAATGAATCGAGTTGCTGTACCCCATCATTTAATACATAGAATTTTTAATTTTTTTTGTTGATTCCGAATAGCCTTTATCTGGCAATTCTTAATTTCCCGTAGGGCCAGTTATAATAATCGACAAAAAATCGAAAATGAACATTTTTGCATATCTTTACGTTTTAGGATTTCTGAACATTTTGGCATACCTTAGAAAAAATGAATTTGTATATGTGTGTTTAAGTGTGGATACAATTTTTAAAAGAATTTTTTTTTTGAAAATTCAATTTTGTTTTGATATCAAGAATTATTCGGATATCAATTTTTTTTCTGGTTGTAAACATTCAAAATTTCTCGAATATTTCATTACGGTACGGATAGGTCCAGCAATTTGCCTTAAGGCACGACGTCATGCATCACTAGTTCTTCAGTATTTATAGATCTATTTTTATAAAAAATAGCTTATCAATCACAATTATTACGCATCCAGAATTTATAGGTTCAATATGTAATCAAATAATTATATTCCTACTGTACTGATGTTAGCCCTTAGATGATGGCACCGATTTCAAAACAATCTACTGTACCGGCTGTAAACTTGATTTCATTGTTTATGTTATGCAATTTGTTTGATAAAAATTTGTGGTCATTGAAGGACATACATTTATAATATTAATTTATTTTTGATCATTTTAAAAAAAATGGTGACGTTCAAAACAATTTCCAAAATGCTTAGCTAGTTGATTTTGACATGTGTTACAATCAAATGTTGTTGGCCACTTTTCT